AAAAAAAAAAAAAAAAAAAAAAAAAAAAAAAAAAAAAAAGCTAACAAAAAAGAAAAAGAAGATAATTAAAAAAAAAAAACAAATTCATAAAAGAAAAAATGAGAGGAAATAAAAAAAAAATATATTGCTACCAATTTTTTAATAATGCTACTTCAGCGTCCATAAAAACATATAATAATATATTTGTATAAGCATGCCACATGTGTTTAAATTTTAGTTTTATGCTGTTTTAAATGGTATTTTGTAAAAATTGCCTTAGTTTATTTTAAGCGAAAAAACGTATAAATATTGTAAAGTATGAAGAAGAATATATGCGACATGGAATTGGGCAAGTAACACGAGTAAGCGGCACCTGATTTGAAGCATTATATTATATGCGCATATATAACGCAGTATAGTCATATAAACTATAACAATAACATAATATTTTCTTACATATACATTTTTTCCATATGCATATGCTTTTATTAATATAAATGTTCGCGTATGCGTGGTGCCGATGGAACAGTGCGGCTTACGCGGATGTATATATATTATTCGCTCGCCGCAAAGCGTACTTAAAAATAATGTATATGTTTTAATACGATTTATATGTTCGTACAAAATATGTACATAAAGTCATGTGTATGTAGTTCTGCGCATATAAGCATTAATAATATTTTATACATTCGCAAGGTGACTTATTTTTCATATAAAAGGGAAAGTGCTATTCTGGCGGAGGCCCGCCTTCACCATATTATTTATGCTTATGCGTAAAACACTATGCACTACATATTATTTATTATGGTATGCCTCTGTGAAGAGATAAACTGCGCATGAGGCAAAGGGGGGAAGTGCTTTTCATTCATAATATTATTATAATACAAAGAAATGCATTCCCTACTACGTGCTACTTTTCTCAATATGCGTACAATTAATGGCCTTACGCGTTTAAGTGTGCTTGCGCTATAAGCCCAAAAAAAAAAAAATAATAAAGGCGTTTTTACAAAACCAGCTTTTTTTTCGCGCATATTTTTTTTATGTAGGGCCACAGCAGTCCCTCGCATATTTAAAGGCATTTGCATATACCCACCATATATATAAGCAAACAAAAATAAGTCCCATGCGTTATGCTACGCATATAAATATTTACCAATACCTTGGGGATATGTACAAGTATAATAATACTCTGAGAAGCCTATTTTTATAATTTGAAAAAATAACGCTTTTTTTTTTTGCTCATGAGAATTATCCGGATTCTTATGTACCGTAATGGGTACATATGGTGTATTTATATATAATATATTTATGTAATTATTTCTCTACCCCTGCACAGTATATTGTATTGTTTATACATATACGTATGAACACACGTTCGTGCAGTTTTACATTTCCATACGAACATTAAGAGAATACGAATTGACCATGCTGTCCCGTTGGGCGCAGCTGTAAACATATGAAGCAAAATTTTGTTGCAATGCTTTGCGTGAGTGATGCTTCCATTCTTACGAAACAAAATATATCATAAAAAGTACTCAACTGGGTGCAGTATGCATCTTTTGTTGATTATGGAGGATGCGCATACGCTCATTTATCGTACCACCACTACGCCTTTTTCTGTCCTAGTGCGTGCTGAAAAAACGCGCAAAAGGAGCTGTTCAAAATGTTAATAAACTGTATATGTTAGTACTGCGTGTTGTTGCATTTATACATATATATATATATATGTACGTCTTTTGTATGCTTTAACCATGCATGCCGTCTGTGCGACAAATTGGGCTTGTGTTCATACTAGGGAAAAACCGTGCGTGGTTGTCTTTCAACTTTTTTAAAGGTGACAAAAAGGCTGCTGGTTTGAAGCACCCTTCAACTCCACTCATATATGTTTTCAAATGTGTCGCATAAAAAAATTACTGAAAGGAAGAAATCTTCCTCTCCCCGCCTCTGTACATCAACATAACACAACAGAGTTACATGAGCGTACATGTCTGTATGTACCACATTTGCATCCTCAGACGAGGTCAGCTTTGTCTAGTGAATTAAAAATATGCAGTGTGCTAAAGAAAGGAAAAAACAACTTTGGGAAAAAATTAATATTTCACAAAATTAAGAAAAAAAAAAAAAACCTTTAAATATGTTTGAGGGGTTTATATGTTGGGTTTAATAACTCCGTGCATGAAGCAGTGAAAAATGCTGATATATCGAAATGGTGAACAAGGGGGAAAAGACAACATATTGTTTTGAAATTCCTTTTTTTTTTTTTTTTTTTCTGGCATGCATTTCGATATGTCATCACTTCCCATGCAACGTAAAAGGCACATGGTATGTGGAAAATATCCAGAACGGGCTCAACGCGCGGGAAAATAAAGTAACAGTAAGACTTCTCTGCACCATTTTTTTATTCATCGCAAAATTATCCGTTCTTTTTTAAAAAGGGAAAAACGCCCCCCTTTCCTCGTATATTTCAAGGCAGATTTGCAATTCACGTGAACGTAAAAAAAGTGACCGGCTCATTTAGCTAATTGTAGAATGAGCATGCGTTTACAATATATAACGCCAATGAACACACAGCACGAATTGCGCTTATGGAAATACGTACAATATAGGTATATTATATGTTTTTTGCACCGCGCGGATCACTTTGTCGTGCCCGTTATAAGCTACTGTATAACTACACAGGGCCATATCCACGCTTGATGGGTTCAATTTGTAAAATGGCAATTTTTTGAGGCCATATGTGACTTTATTAGCGGTAAAAATTAGTGCATATGGTACAGGCGTATATTGCTATATATATAACACGTATGCTGGTATTGCAATTTTTGGCTCGAAACAAAAATGATGCAAAAAATAGCACAAAATGTGGCATCGCTTGTACGGCATATATAAAATATATATGCATAAACAGGTAGATAAGGTGCGTATGTATCGCCCCCGACATCTGGTGCTCCATAACTGTGTCGAGTATTATTTCGCGGCGTATTACCCATATGTCGTTATGGGAAAGAATTACACTGAACTGGCATATAAAACACCAGGTGCTCTTTCCTCTCTGGCGGATTAATTTTAAGGCTTTTTAAACCTGTTTAACTTTTGGGGGGCACGCCCTATATGTTTTCACATTTATGAGGTTTTTTTTTATGTTCTTCTCCACCGCGTGAACAATGTTTCTTCTTTTTTCCTGCGCACAAAATTTTCAGAGGAAATCTTTATGCACTACTTTTACAAATTGCGTTTAAGGCATGTTTACAGCATTTGTTCTCTGCGCGGACGTTTGTGCAACCCTCCCGACAAATGCAAACGCGGTGAATGGATCTCCACCATAACGCAATATTTCATTTTTTATATAACCACAAAAGCGGCAACAAAAAATATACAAATGTATGCGCAGCGCTTATAATATTTTAACTACATATATTGAGATTGTACAATAATATATATAAATGTTTCCTTTTATGCTTACCACGCGACGCGTAGTTTTTTTTTCTTGGGCTTTTTCCACCGTCGAATTGAATTTTTTTTTTTCCCAATTTGTATGTTTCATTTTTTTATAAACTCCACAATTTTTTCTTTTTTTTACATGTTCATTTTTTACAAATTCAACCCAAAATAGATGCAATTGCAAAGTAAAACACCACTGTGTTTTAATTTCCTTGGAGAGAACATTTGATAATTTCTTTGAACAGAAAGTTTACTCAAGCGATTGCTTTATTTAAAAAAAAAAAAAGCAAAAAAAGCTTCGTATAAATAATTACGCATTTGGAACCTCCCTTCTGTATAACTCCTTTAAGTGTTTTCTTTCTTTTAACCCGCATATACACAATGAGGTAAGTCCATACTTACGACATTCGGCACAGGATTTATGTGCTTTTGTTACGAACTCTTCCCCTAAGGAAGGAGTTGGGGGGGAACATATACAAGAGAGGCAACACCCACCCCAGCGTACATATAAATGTTTATAGGCATATCCCCAAGTTGTTGTTGATGCGCTCTTCTATATGTGCTTTCTTATACTTGTGGCGTTCTTGTACGGGAAGAGATGTTAACCATTGTACTGGGGAAAAAAAACGCGGCGCCGCATTAGCTGATCAAATGAACAACAATCACGTACATACAGCACTATGCGGCGCGGCTATTTTGTGTTGCAAACGCGACATTTCATACTGTTTGTGTCGAATTTAATGAGCCTGCATTTGCGTTGGAGGGATACATGTATCCATGTGAATGCTGTTCATTTGTTATGCCTCTTCATTTGTGCACGCATGTCATTGGGGCCCCGCCTGGGGAATAATTATATAAATTACATGTGTTATATAAATTACATATGGTATGTACGTTATGTATGTAAGTATATGTTGCGCATGCACACTGCGTGAGCGATTTACCCACTCTGACTTTCCCTTCCATTTCCCCTTTTTCCCCTCCTTAGCAAGCTAAATCAAGATCTCCTAAAAAAGGCCATCTCCGATGTGTTCGAAGGCACAAAAACGAAGAAGAGAAAATTCGTGGAGACGATTGAGCTCCAGATCGGTCTGAAGGATTACGACACGCAGAGAGACAAGCGTTTTTCAGGAACGGTAAAATTATCAAATGAAGTGAGAAAAAAATTGAAGGTATGCATATTAGGAGATGCTGTACACGTGGAGGAAGCACAGAAATTAGAATTAGACTATATGGACATAGAAGCGATGAAAAAATTAAATAAAGATAAAACATTAGTTAAAAAGTTGGCCAAAAAATATGATGCATTTTTAGCAAGTCAGGTTATCTTACCACAAATTCCAAAACTGCTTGGTCCAGGTTTAAACAAGGCAGGAAAGTTTCCTTCCCTAATTACGCACAATGATAAAATAAATGATAAAATCTTAGAATTAAAATCTTCTATAAAATTTCAACTGAAGAAAGTTTTATGCATGGGTGTTCCTGTTGGTCATGCGAATTTGAAAGAGGAGGAACTCAGATCCAACATTGTGCATGCCATTAACTTCTTAGTTTCTCTTTTGAAAAAAAATTGGCAAAACATTAGGACCTTGCACATTAAGAGCACCATGGGAAAGCCTCAGAGAATTTACGGCTAAGCGGCGGCTTCATTGTTTTTAAGCGACGAGTTCACAACAATCAGAGGGGCCCTCTCAATTTCACACATACTCTCCCCCGTGGACGTTTGCATCGGAAAATGTGTGCGTGTAATGCGCCTCCATAGAGCGACACGCGCGTACATGTGACGAGTGCCTGTGCCACAAATGTAAAAGGAAAACCTGGTCATGCGTCCAGAAACACGGGAACAACACAGACGGAGATGGGGAGAACCAATGGTTGTACTTAAGGGCTTACCACACAGGAATGAATTCGTAAAAATAAAAAAATATGTTGTGGAGATGAACATAAAATATGTACGCCCATATATATATATATATATTTATTCTTGTACTTATTTATTCTTTTTTTTTTTTTTTCCTTATGAGCTTATTACGCTGTTATCACCTTCCCCTTTTTTCCAAGTAACCAACTTTTTTTTTCTTTTTTTTTTTTCTTCGAATACCAATATTTTGAAAAACTTTTGTTCTGTTTCCAATTTCGAATTAGAATAAAAAGGAAAAAAACAAAAAAAAAGGACTAGAAATTACCTTTCTAAGTTACATAATATATTGGAAGATTTTTAACAAATCGTTCATAAGAAAATAAAAAAAAAAAGTGCAGGCGATACGACACACAGAAGGAGGACATCACTGGGAAGCACACGAAGCAGAAATGTCAAGGCAAGTACCAACAGAAGGGCGCGTCAGCAATTGTTTACTGCAACAGGGGAAGCAAAACAAAATAATAATCCCTCAAAAAAAAAAAAAAAAAAGGATGCAATGTGTGCAATTTCGTCTTATGGCAACTTAACTCTATGCGCATTTCCCCCAGGGTCATCCGTTGTATAATAAAATAGGGCAAAAGGTGTGGTGGTTGCTTCGTCGCGATGTTACTATTTTTTTTCTGCCCCTCTGTTACGAAATTGTTTACAGTAATATATTTCCACATAGTGCCTTTTGCGTGTCAACCAGACGGAAATGATTAAATGGTTTCAAAAAGGAGACACACTGGTGGGGTGTGCCAGTCTGTCCATATACACATGTCCCAAATTGTATCGAAATGGCAACATAATTTGTTTTACCTGTCATTTTTTGTTTTTTTTTTTTTTTTTCACTTTTTTCGTTTAATACATCAGTTACTTAATCTGCTCTTTCATGAGTGGTGTCCCAAATGATTACTCCCCCCAGTCAATGTCTACTAAGGGGCAGATTTTTCCCAATGGGCACAACTTTCAAAAACGATAAAATTGGACAAGCAAAGGATAATGCCTTATCGCTTCACCCCTTCTGACATATGCTGTCGTGCATGAAAGTGCAATAATGGGGACATATCGAATGGACTAAATGAAATATGTAATGCTCCTTTTTAAGAGAAACGAAAAAAATACCATTCCACCACTCAAATAATAAAATGGAACGATGGAAGTAGACTGAGCACTGTGTCACAAAGGCATGTTTTAATTTCTTTTAAAGGGGTTACAACAATGGTGTTACATCCATTGAAACATTGTTAAGCATGCACATTTTTTTTTTTTTTTTTTTTTTTTTTTTGAGTGCTGGAAGCTACTCTGTAGGTCTACATACCCACAGGGGCTCCACTCTTATAAATGTGAACATCTTTTTTCCAAAGGGGTGACATGAAAATGGGGGCATACACATGCAGGGTAATACAAAGAGCTTATTAAAGCATTTTATAGAAGAAGCATACGCCTTTTTGTTTGTCCTGCTACGTACTCTATCATCGACCAACTTTGAAACCCACCTACTTTGTCTTCACTTTTTTTTTTTTTTATATGCCCCATTTTCTCTAACCACCTGAAAACAAATACGAATATGCACAAGTCTGAGGCCCGAAGGCTGCTTTTTATCCTTTGCCCAAATGGTTTGTACATTACGAAGATTGCTTTGTGCTTAAATTATACATTTACACTTGTCGCAGAACTGGAACAGGTCTTCTGTTTGTTCTTTTACACGTTACACACGCTCCGCTTAAGTTTTCTCATTACCCAATGCTACACATGCATGCGTTGTTATGCATACGTTGCTCATTTATAAAAGGGGGAAATAAAAAAATGCACACTTTTGTAAATCAGTTTTTGCCTTATTCACATTTCATACATAGTTCACAAATTAAGGAAAAACAAATGAACGAACAAACTTTGTTTAATTAAAAAATGTCCTATCGCCTGTTTTTTTTTTTTTTTTTTTTTTTTTACATGGGGTTATATGTGAACAAATGCGCATTGCCTAAAGGGTTACACGCACGCTGTGCACACGGATATAATTTTTTTTGAAGTCTTAAACAGGAGACAATACGTATCAATCATTTATTTTTTTTGTTGTTATTTTTTTTGTTTGTTACTGATTTTTATTTAACCATATACATGTGCCTATTTTTTTGTTCTTCGCAAAAATCTGCGTAATTTGACCTAGCACAGAATTTGCTCGTCCGCCGTTGTCACGTGCGTTGTTCGTTTTGGCATAGACGGGGCGCACATGTTGAGCTACTTGTCTGGCGTTAATCCGCATTCCACTTGTCTTTCATCCCCTTTGTGTGTACCCTCCTGTCGCTCATCTGCCCATGAGCTTTTTTTGTGCCCCGTAAATATTGCCTACCTAATTTTTGCCACCTCCTGCATTTTTCATTCTTAAAAATATGTTAATTCAAAATGAGACACGATTGCAAAGTCAAGGTGATCGTTTTGTTTCGTGCGAGAGACGCGTCAGCGTGAGTTCCCGTTCCGCTGTGTCCCCTTCTGCGTCTCGTGTCCTGCGTGCCCATATTCGTGTCATCAGTTTGCCCCCAATTTGTTCTTCCCCTCTGTGTTGCATCCAAGCTTCGCTGCTCATACTTCCTCACGGACTGTTCTATTTCTGACCTAATTTTGGTTGCTTCATCTACCGACTACGTGCTCCCTTCCGGAGCTCGCTCTATTCGCCCTCTTCTGCTTTTCCTTTTTTCCCCTTATTCCTTTGTTTCACCCGCATGGCACTCATGGACAAGTGGCGACCAGAGTGGGACACAGAGCTTCGCCTGCTCCCACAAGTCGAATCCATTGCCGATCAAGACCTGCAAATAACCGAAGATATATTTTTCCTATGGCAGGTAATATTAACAAAAAAAAAAAGGGACACTTTTTGATACCGTGAGGGGGTTACTTCTATGAAACGATTTTTTTTTTTTCATACGATGATTGACACGTCGCGTTGCTAAGAATAAGTATATATGCTCCTTTTTGCATGAAATCTGCCACTATTTCTCTTTTTTTTTTTTTCCTATTTTCATTACATTACATATCCGTTCTGCCCGTCCCGCCTTCTCAACGCAGTTCTTAAAGATGTACCACACCTCTATGCCGCACGTTCGGAACCTCATTGATTTCATAACAAGTAAAAAAATGAAACAAAAATGTGCGGCTGCACATTTAAATAAAGTATCCAAATGGGGTGCTCTCTGCCGATACACTATCCCCGTTTTACTGCCCCATGTCATCCGATGTACATTCCAAGTATAGTAATACTAGCGATAATAACATCACACCGCAACTAAAACGGTGTCAACATTTATGTGATCCCTTCCTTTTTGCACCCCCTTTGAAGTTAAAAAGCCAGAGCCGCTCACATGGGGCGAACACATTGACGACTACATGTGTAGGGGAATAGACAGGGGGCAGAAATTATTTAATTTGTTAGTTTCAGATGGCAAAAGAATACAGCCCAGATATTCCAAGAAGAAATTATGCGATACGTTGCTGTACTTTCGCCTTAAGAATTACATCATCTTGGAGAAAATAAATACTGGCTCCGTTGGGCAGGTTCACTTAGCTTTGGACAAAAGCACAGGTTAATATCTATGCGCTACAATGTGCGGCGGAATGCGCACTCGTGGCTCCCAGCACAGATAAAGACCCCATGCACAATTAACGGCATAATTATATGCCTATCCCCACATGCACTGCCCCCTACTCACGGCGCTACCCCCCACAGATACCCTCGTCGCGGCGAAGGCCATAGACAAATCCACTGTCCAAGGCGATGAAGAACTCTTTCAAAAGCTCAAGGAGGAGATCAGCATTTCCTGCAGAATGAACCACCCCTGTGTTGTAAAAACAACCAATGTCCTTGAGACGAGGGATAAAATTATTCAAATTATGGAGTACTGCGATGGAGGGGACCTCATATCCTACGTCAGAAATGTAGGTCCTAGTCTGTTATATCAAGCGAGCACATGTGCATATGTATATTTGTGCGCATAAATGTATATGTACACATGTGTTCGTGCCCCTAACACCGCGTGACCACTCATATCACCCCTAACTGCACCCACGTTGTCCCTTCCCACCACCGCAGAAGGTCCACCTGGAGGAACTCAGCGCGCAGTACTTCTTTCGAAAAATCGTCCAAGGGCTCCAGTACATGCACCGAAACAACGTGTCTCACAGGGACTTGAAACCAGAAAATATCTTCTTATGCAAAAGACAACTAAGTCAAAGAGAAAAGACGTTAATACGAATAGGAAAGTTACCATCATGCTCCGAATACGAATTGAAGATAGGGGACTTCGGAGCCTCATGTGTTAATGAAAAAAACAAATTACATCACGATATAGTGGGAACCCTAAGTTATGCTGCTCCGGAGGTCTTAGGATGTAAGACTACCTGTGGTTATAGCAGTCAAAAGGCAGATGTCTGGAGTCTCGGGATTATCCTCTATGCCATGTTATTCGGTTTACTCCCCTTTGACAATGAAGGAAAGGATCTTAAAGAAGCTTACAACTCGATTATAAAAAATAAAATCGTCTTTCCCAAACATAGGGTAAATAGAATTTCTATGAATGCCAGAAATTTGCTCTCTGGAATGCTCACCATCAATCCAGCTAATCGCCTGTCCCTTGATGAGGTGGAGAAACATGAATGGCTAGCTGATACGGGGAAAACCAAGTTGGAAGTATCTCACGTACATAAGAAAATGAATTTCCCCATTTCATCCACCGTCGCTTATCCAGTAGGCAGCGGTAAGAACGACATGGATTTTGAAACGTTTAAAAAATTGTTTCTATTAAAGAGGGAAAATGGTTCTGCGATTACAAACCTTCGCGTCCCGGCGGTGGTGGCAAGTGCGGTGCCGCGAGACGCTCAACATATGGTACCAAACGGTGCGCAAAACGGGGTGGTAATAAACATAGTGCCGAGCAGTGTGCAAAACGTCGCGTCTGGTATGGTGCCTCATGCGATCCCATGCGCCTCTCCTTTTGGAGCGCCCTACGCTAAGCCCTACGCAAGTGCAAGGCCCAAGGAGAACGACCAGGCGGGAGCTTGTCCACGTAGTGGTCACGAGAAGGGCCAAGTGTGTCATGTGCGAGGAAGCAACTCGCTCTTGCAGAGGTGCGATCCCCACCACGTGAAGCAAAATAAGAATCAAAACGCAAGCACAAATCATGGGCAGTTGTACTTGTACGACGACAAGGGGGTTTTGAACAATCACGTGAATCATCCAAATGTGGCACAGCAAAAGATAGAGAACCCCGTTTACGCAGACGCCCTGCTTGCACAGAAAAAGAAAAACCAAGGGGACACATTACATAGGTATGCATTAAACCAAAAGAATGAAGAGAAGGGAAAAACCCTCACGGAAACAAACACAAAACACACAAATGATGGTAACGATAAAAGCAAAGTGTGCACTCAAAAAGGAATCATAAATAATCAAAATAACTACTACGGGGAAAAAACATATTTCAAAAATCATATACTAGACAATACGTGCGTGAATGGGAAGAATAAAAATGAGACTAGCAGCGTCAACTACTATGATGGTAAGCCACAACAATTAGAGCAGCTAGAAAAAAATAAACTTAAGTCGGTGGACCAAGTGAATAAGAACCCCCACCTGTGTGCAAAGACAAACAACACTTATGATTTTTACTTCAATAAAAATAACATATACAGAAATCAAAGCAACAATATATTTCTTCTACCATGTAAGGAAAACCTCATAGGGAAAAATAATGTATATAGTAATTTGTACTTCTTCAAAGGATCGGACGATTTTAAAGTAACCTCCAGTGGGAGGTCTACTCTGTTACGGCATTACGATCAGGGTACGCTGACCACAAGTAGGGAATACGACACCAGTTGCAGGTTCAAATGTTCTTCCAATGCGAGTGATGGACGAGAGTCCACTAACACCATCAACTCGAATTGCACAAACATCACTCCTAGTCATAAGAAGACACCAGCTCCCGACAAAGTAAATGTCTCACCGAGTGATACATTGTTTTACCAAAATCCTAATTACAACCATCATGTACAGTACAAATATTATTACTATGATGATAAGGGGACGTATGTAGGGTGCTTAAGCAACCAAACTACTGGACGTACTTGCGCCTCTTCCTGTGTGTTGCTTGAAAATCAAGTCAACTGTGCTGCTAACAATGCTGATTACACAAAGGAATGGACATGTAGAAGGGGAGTCTCCGAATATGTCGAAGCAGGTACATCCAGCAACAGTAACAATAGCAGTAGTAATAATAACAATGCGTGCTCATCTGACCTTAAGAGGGAACACCCTTTTGTTAAACACATAGAGGGGGAAGGGCGCACAAAGTTGGCTAGCTACGAGTGGGGTACAGTCGCTAAAGGTGCGCTGTTCGCCGCTTCTGAAAATAGAGCAAATGTGATGGCAACAGAGGTGAGGGTGGTTAGCAAAGAGAGGAATGATTTGGCAGGTTGCCATGGGCATCCACGTGTGGTGCAGCAAGTGGGAAGAGCAGCACAGGTGGGTGGTCAAATGGGTAAGCACGCCAGTAACACAACAAGGGACACCCTGCTCACCGACGGAAGCATTACATCTAAGGTAAGCACACCCACGAACAACGATGCAGAACTACAAGTACGTCTCATGGACTCCAAAAAGAAAGACACCTGTATTGTTCTTAAAAAGGAAGGAATATCCCCCACTGGAAATAAACACTCGTCCCTTATCAAATCCCAACACGTAACAAAAATTGTTACTGTTGGTGAAGGTACCAACGACCAAATGGACGACGTGAATGGCCACCCTAAGGAGAGTCACCAAAAGGAAAACAAATATACCCTCAACCTGTTCATACAAAAGGGGACAATTAACGAGCACACAAAAATGGATATAACGCAACAGAAAAATACTCCACAAAGGGATTACACTGACGAGCAGTCCGATAAATGGAACATGCAGTGTGGAGAGAAAGACGATAGAGAAGAATTCCTTCCCAGTGGGAGTGCCCCACTACAAAATTACACTGTGAACACGCAGAACAGCGAAGTGGATAATAACGCAGATGAGCAAGTACATAATACCATCGAGCGCATTGAACGGAAAACAGAACAGGACAATCAAAAAGAAACACATAAAGGGGATAGGAATTCTCCCGACAAAATACTTTCATTTCTGCCACGCAAGGAGGAAACTAAAAATGTGAGTAGCCAACAAGGGAGTAATACACCAAGGGAACAACACACCGAAGGAGAGTGTAAGGGAACCCTCGAACACAGCTATAGCGATGCAAGTGAAACGAAGAGGAAAAAAAAGAAAAAAAAAAAATTTAGCAGCATCAATAATCCAAGTAAAGAAATTCAACGAGGCCAATCCAAAAGTGACCCAAGTGGTGATGACAAAGAGGTAAACCACGTGGACAAAAAAAAAAATATAACTAACCCTAGTATAAAGAACAACCGTAGTGGTAATGATGGACAGTGTGGAGAGACACATTCATGTGGAGAGAGCTACAACAACAGTGGAACAAGGACCAACCACTACGGCACTGACATTGCAGTACACGGTGTGCACAAAAGTTCGAGTAAAGATGAGGGGGGAAAAAATAAAGTGGACAAGCACAGAAAAAGGGTAAATGAAAAAGCTACAGAAAAATCTGACATGACAAACTTATCCAAATGTGACAGTCATGAGGAAGAGAAAAAAGATGGGGCAGAATTCCGACGCTATACTAGCACAGAGAAAACAACATATAGTCATCTGGAGGAGGAAGAAACCTTATGCAAAAACGAGGATAGAAAGAAACCAAGGCATAATAAAATATTTAATGAAGAACAGGTAGACGGAGAAAACAAATTTTTGCTACTAAAAAAAGTGTACTATTCAGACGATAGGGACGTCCATGTACTGCCCAACAGTGAGAACCAACATGACAGGAAAGAATACATCAATTTTGAGAAAATATTTCCCCACAATAAAAGGAAGACGAATACAAACCACATTGCCGCTTTAGGGTACTATAAAGGAAGTAACTTATGTTTTAGTAAAAGGGTGAAAAAAGACAGAAATCAACGGGGCAAGGAAAAGGAAAACGTCGTAAAGAATCAAGTGGACGTATACCACAGAACACATAATCCCAGAAGTACAAATCATATAATAAATATCAGACACTTCAATGAATGGTACTACACGAACGGGTGTAGCCGACATGAATTAACAACGAAGGAGAAAGGTCCATCCAACGAAAGGGTTCCAATTTATAATACAGTGGCACCATATGATGCAGAACAGGTAAGTGACAAGGAATATGTTTATTTTTCCTCGAACAAAATTGAGTACATCAAATGTGCTACTCCAAGTACCAACAACCAGGATAGCCACCACACATACAGTTCCCATTATCACAACCATACGATGAACGAAACGAACGGGGAGTTATCCAACCCGCTTAGTGATGCACATGTGGTAAGCGCAGACACATCCAGTACTAAGTGCAGTGAAGAAACGGACACGGGGCAACCGCATCAATGGAGGGAGAAGCCTATGCAGTCAGGGCACAATTTGAACGCGATCGTTGACAGGCATGGCGGAAAGGGCTCCACATACAATAGGGGCGACATCACAAGTGGAAGATGCATCCCCAATTTGGAAAGCCACGTATTTAACCACTCCCCAATTGACCAGTTGACGAATGTGCATGAGAATCAAGATAACGAACCCACGCGCACGGAGAGGTGCCCTGTTAGGGAAGAGAACAGTAGGGAAGAATATTCCCTCGAAAAGGTAGGATCCACTAACAGCAGTACCAGCAACGACAGTAATGGATGCAGAAGGAAGAGCCAAGGAATAAGCACACACCTCGAAGAGATAAGCAGCGTTTTCACATCCGACGCCACAAACAACTCATACATTGGGAACGATATAATTAGAAGGAAAGATTACACCTCCTTGTATGACGACGTGAACAAATCATACTCGATCATCCAAAATGTAAGCTATGAAAATGAGATCACGAAAGCAAAAATGAAGAATGAAAAAAGGGAAAGGATTATAACGCGATGTGATGCGAAGGAGAAGATTCAAGGGAATGAAGAATGTGAACAAGGTGAGGAGCTTCGCGTAAAGATGGCCTGCCCAACGGAACACTCTACCCCTAATCAGAGCAGCGATAAATGCGAACCGCCTAAAAGCACAACTATGAAAATATCACAGAATAATAAGCGCCCAACGAACAGGAAGAAGGGATGTTCAGGGGAAGAGGAACAAGACAAAGGTGCAAAGGGTGAGGGGGAAAAAGCCACGCCGTTTACACTTAAGAACGGGCCAGTTTGGAAAAATTCGCCAAGTAATGTTCAAAATTGTTACGAAGTGGAATTCCATGAAGAGTTAAATAGAGACCTGTCTGAAGGAAGCCTGGAGAGAGATAAATCTCAAACACTTGGCAGTAGCGCCAATGGAAAGGACACCCACTTGTTAGAAAAGGATGAGGGGAAGAATCCACACATGGACACACAACACATCTACATGATGAATTCGAATTTAAAAAAGCAAAAACCACAAGGTGCAAAAGGACAACATGAAAAGAAGCAAACAGGAATTGTGCTTAATGGACCCATCGACAAGAAAGACACTCCACATGAATTCACATCGAGTAAAACAAATGAAGAGCTAACTAAAAATAAAAAAGAAACAACCCTTAAGGAAACCAATAGTGACAGAAGTAAACACGTACCAAGTTGGAACATCTTGAATGTACAGAAAAATGACACCATCCATTCGAAGGAGAAACGTGCAGATTATCTAACACATAATAGAAGCTACGATTTGAAAAGCGCTAGGAGTAATTTATTGAGTATGTCCTATGATGAAAATATAAGAAAGGATTACAAACATGGTAACTTATTAGTGAACCCTAAAGATATAGTATCCCTGCATGATTTAAAATCGAGTGAAAATGATGAAAAGAACAAAATTCTGTACTACTACAATTTGGATACCACTCCAGCAAACTTGGACATTCTGAATAATCTCATGTTTTACTCATCGCATGTTAATCCATATAGGCATTACAAAAATAACTACCTTATAAGGAAAACCTCCCTCACTGAGGAGGGTGTTAATGTAGCAAACTCCAAGCAGAGTAGTGATAATAACAGAACTGAACAAAGGAGTGATCAGCAAAATGAATCTCCAGCAGTGGACCACAATTTGAGGAACTACCTAAATTTAAACAAGACATCCATTCAGAACATGGCAAAAATGAAAAGAAATTATACCCGTGAACAAAATTATGAAAACAAATTTGGTACAAAAGTAGAAGACCAAAGGGAAGCAAATTCCTTGTATCCCAAGCTAAGGTGGATGAACATTTTTAGCAGAAATTCAAGCAAGCACTAGACCCATTCTGGGGGGGCATCAACCCCATTTTGCTTTTTAACATGCTTTATGAAAAGGTGTTAATCGAAAGAGGCATCCCAATGCGTATGCAAATAGACGTGTGTTTTTGTGCACCCTTTACATTCATGCGGAGGGGAGGAGGGGGATCTAGGTTAAACTGGGTACTCTTCTTGTTTAGTCTTTTGTCATCGGGCATTTTTATCAGCATGCAGCGGCTTAGCCGCTCATACTCAGTTGCGTTTATAAAATTGTACATATTTATATATTCGTATGCACTACTTCTACCGCAACACGGCTGCGCCACTGACAGGGGCTCTACTTCACCCTTTTGAATGACCCTTTGTGGCATCACACCATTCTACATTTTGACATAATTCATCATGGCACTTCCAAGCAGATGCTCCTTTACGTGTCATATGTGCCCGACTGTTATACCTACCCCTATGTGCGTACACTTACGCGTATGTGTGTGCAGTGGAACAATTAAATGGACGTAGTCTCCCTCATGCCCGTCCCATATGACCACTCGTGTGCGCAGGTAAGTACCACTAAGGATTGGCAAACAAATCCTCTTATCTTCTACTGGAGGTGACACGTCTCTCTTGGAGATTCTGAGCAAAATCGGAGGTAGCTGTATCTTTTTTTTTTTTTTTTTTTTTTTTTTTTTCACCTATCACTTACACCTTGGCTCCAGTTTTTACACAAAACGGGTCAACATTTTTGCACATTCGTGTCTTTCACGTTTGGGAAAATACACAAATGGTGTATTCGTGGATGAACTCAAAGGGGGTTCCAAATGTGGGAACTTATTTAATATGCCAATAGGTGAAAAAAAAAAAAAAATCGTACAATTGCACAAATTTAATGCCGCAAAATATGCGGGATACTCATTTCTAGCATAAGTGCTATGAAAGGTTGGAGCCTTTTCTATACACATGCAGAATCCACGTGCAGGGTGTTTTCATATGCACAGTATTACTTATGTGGTACGATATCTGACTTAATTTTTTAGGCGCCAAATTTGGACTATCCATTTTTTATGTTGCATATTATATTTTTCCCTTTCGTGTCACCTTTTTATCACCTGGCTTTTTCCCTGCCGTGGTGACTTCCTTTACATTTTCAAGGAACGGAAAGCCGGGAGAGAGGAAAAATTACACAAACGTAGCAGTATTTAGTCCCTTTAATCGTGTGCTCGATTGTGGTATGCCTGCTTCTATACCAAAGCGTCCTCTTTTCTGTTGAGCTCTCCTACATGTTCTTCACTTCATGTTTTATTTTATTTTATTTTTTTTTTTGGTTCAGTTTGTGAGGTGTCACGTGTTTAGTTCGCCATGTATTCAATAATTTCTATTTTTTTTTTTATAACCACTTGGCTTAGTTTTTTCTCTTTCCCAATCAGGCTGCCCCTTTTTTTTATATTATACATGTTTCATTTCGGTTTCCGTTTGGGCGAGGATTGTCCTTTTTTTTTTTTTTTTTTTTCTTCTTATCCCCATTGCGGTCCGATTCGTGCACGGTTGCTATACGTGTCAAGTCTCTCCCTTTCTGTTTTTTATACTACACGATGAAGTTCTCCCATGCATGAACCACGAAACAAGATCAAGGGAAACTAAAAAAAATCGGTAAGCCAAAACTTTTGAAGAGTGTAAAATTCGAGTAGCTTCTGAATTTACCGCCTTTCGCGCAAGCGTGTGGAATAAAGCAAATTTATATTATATGCTTAACCCAGAATGGCTTGAGTGTTTTATTGTTACAAGTCGTATTTGAAAGACCTATGAGGGAAATGGAGGACCTTTTTTAGGGCCCCAAAAAATGCAGTGCATATTGTAGGCATTAAAGATAAATATAACCCCCTCATTGCGCGAATGCGTAAGGTGCAACTATCACCTAGGAGAAACAAACACACGCGGGAACGTACGTGCATATAATGTACATTTAAAAAAGTTACCACCGCATTTGTGTTCTTTTCGTTTTATATCAGTTTTCCCACGGAACCGGAAACAAAGTCTCGCCCTGCGAAAAAGAGGAACCCTCCTTGGGTAATTTTCCTTAGCGAAGTTATCTGACCACCCAGGGTCTGCAGACTTCTTACGGAGCCTTGCCAAAAAAGGGAGTGACACAAACATCAGACACTCGTGGCAACATTTATTACAAGTCCGTACGCACGTAGTGTGCTCGAAGGAGGGACCACGGGTTCTCAGTCCAAGTTGAAACACATTTTGCTGAGAGGGGTTACCTCCAAGGGGATTTCACAAAATAGGGACTTCAGGTGTGCCTTTCTGAAGGAGTCCTAGGGAAGGAAGGCACACTGCCCCCTTTTCAACCGCCCCCCTTTTTACAACCTGTTCCCTCCCTGTGAGAAGCCATGGGAGACAACGCCGGAAGCTCGGGCAACAACCCCGTGATCTCCATCGGCAACATCCGGGGGTTCGGGGGCTGTGATTACGGATCCTTTCGAATGTCCAACGAGTTTTTAGGATGGAAAAACAAAAAAACAAACAGCGTATACCAGTACAAGTGCAGTGACATAAGTGAAGGGGAGTGGATAAAAACAAGCTACAACAATAACAGGCTATACCTAAAGTTCAATGAACAGAAAGGCAATTTGATCATCTTCTTTGACGGATTTCCAGATCGAAATACACCTGAAATAACTCAGCATTTTCAGAAATATTTTAATCTCAAATTAGCTAACAGGAAGCTAGCTACGAAAGGATGGCACTGGGGAGAATTCAAGTTAGAAAATTCTAACATAAATTTTGACATAGACAACAAATATGCATTCAGTATACCAACGAATAATATAAACCAACTGAATGTGCAGATAAAGACTGATATAGCAATGGAATTAAAAAATGAGGACAGTAAAAAAACGGATGAAGATTTTTTATCAGAAATACGTTTCTGTTATCCACACGAAAATGAGGAAAATCAACATTTTCAGAAATTTAAAAATGATTTGCTGGAGAAAGTAAATATAGGAGACTCCAAAAGTGAATGCATTGCCTCCCTTGCAAATATTCCTCTCCTGGTCCCAAGAGGAAGATACGAAATCGAAATGTACTCAAAGTCATTCAAGCTACATGGAAAGTCCTACGATTTTACCGTTCAATATACTAATATAAATAAAATGTTGTTAGTACCCAGAAGTAACTCCAATCAGTACGTTTTAATCTTTAGCCTAAATAACAAAATGAAGCAAGGACAAACTGAGTACCCATTCATTTTGGTTCAGCTCAATAACGATGACGAAATGGAACTGGACATCAATGCAAGTGATGAGGATCTAAAAAAATATAAATTAGAAAAAACACTCAGCGGAAATCAATACGATGTAGTCACTAGACTCTTTACTGCGCTGGTTAAAAAAAGTGCCATAATTCCAGGGGACTACAGAACAGCAAAAAATGAATATGGTATTACATGCAGTTATAGAGCAGCCAGCGGACAGCTTTACCCGCTAAATAAATATTTCCTCTTTATTGTTAAACCCGTTATTCTAATCTCCTTTGACGATATTGTCACACTCACTTTCCAGAGAACGGGAAATATAAATCAACACCGTTTCTTCTCTCTTATTATAAAACACAAAAGAGGAATGAGTTATGAATATACCAATATAGACAAAAATGAATACCTCCCTCTCCTGGAATTTTTAAAGAGTAAAAATATACACATTCAGGATGATGCCAATGCTGCGGATAAAAAACAGGACTTTGTCGATGGACTCTCCGAATCGGATGAAGAAGATTACGTTGCGGATGATGATGACGACGACGAAGAGGATTACGTCGCAGAAGATGAGGATGACGATGACGACGATGATGGAGGCAGTGGATCCGACGAGGAAGAGGAGGAGGAAGAAGAAGATGATGATGATTAGGGTTAGCAAATGTAGCCCTCCACATAGTAACAGTTAGCCGAACTCCTTTCTCAATAATGCGTGCATTTATGGACACAGGGATGGGCGCATCAGTTTGCTGCAATTTGGGCGGTAAATCAAATGGTGTTTTCCGGACTGGGGAAAAAAAACATCAAAGACGTCGGCGCAAAGATAAGCACAAACGGACATACAGACCAGCCTCTATAGTTGCGTGACTCTCTAAACCATTCAGTCCACACTTGCATGCACACCATCTCGTAACACCTTTATTTCGTGTTGCTCTTTTTGAATTTTTCACCTTAACGATTTTTTTTTTTTTTTTTTTTCTTTTTTACCACACGGTGACACATTTCAAAAAAAAACACAAAAAAAAAAAAAAAAAAAACGTAACTTCCACATGTGTACACTACTGGTCAGCATAGTGACAGACGCGTAAATGTTTGACCACTGTTACATTTTTTCCAGTACAAAATGGTTACGTGAAAGGGAAGAAATAATAAGGGACTTTGGCTTTATTTGTTGTGTGTGCAAATTGTCAGGGCCCACACATACCCGTGTGATTTCGTTCGGTAAAAAAAAAAACTGCTAGTCACAAATGTAAAAAAAGTGTACAAAAAAAAAAAAAAGCACAAAAAAAAATGGACAACCAACAAATTAACCGCATGATGCGTGTGGGTATTCAGATGGGCGCACATGCCAAAGAAACAACGTCGGACATTGCGCACGATACGAATGCCTGCGTTGGGAAGCCTTCTCCTCTGAACCCTTTTGGAGAAGTACTCTACGAAATGTTCGTTTTTTCGTTTCCCCTTAAGTTCTCATACTCGGCCTTTTTCCTCTTGGAATAATTTTCCGCCTCCCTGTAAAGAAGTGAAGGTGTCAGATGGTGAAGCACCAAAAGGGGCAGGCGCGGGAGCCTCCAACAGGGGAGCACTCGAGCTATCCCCCTCGCTCTGCCTGGGGATCATGAATACAGATAGACAGACGATCGCATTACTTTATAAAGCACATTATCCTGTTCACAAAATTGTTATTGCCGATGTTTTGTTTTATGAAGGTCTTCTCGTTCGTGAACGGTTCGTTTTTTTGCAGCTCATAAAAAATTAGCAGGAACTTGGTTATCTCGTAGGACTACGGGGGAAAAAAACAGTGAAGTGGTAATGCGGCGATGCAGCCCTGTAACAATGTAACGATTTGGACACGTGCAAATCATAAAAAATGCACACCACCGCTAGATCAGCGCGACTAGCGCAGAGCGTTATATGGGTCAGTGAGCCCATTTCTCTTCCACCCTCCGCGATAGAGCTGCAAGTAGGGCAACTGCACTTATATATATAGAGGCACTCCCTCTAACGGTCGCTCAACTTACATTCCTAAAGCAGCAGAGCAGGTTCATGATGCACTTGAGCCTAATGAGGATCTTGGTGCGCAGCGAGCTGTTAATGTCTGCAAGGCCACATAACCTACTCTTCAGCGCGTCCATATTCTTGTTGCTCTTGAAGGTGCTGTATATCCCTTTACTAATATTTATATACTCCTTAGACAAAATCAAATCATTAATTTGTAACTTCTCCAATAACAACAAAATGATGTTGTTAAAATAAGGGTACGGAATGTTCACCTTTTTTGGTACCTCGATATGATAGGATATAATCCAGTAGAGGCGAAAGTACCTCTTGGCTAAATAAATGCCAACAAGATTTTCCAAAGTTTTAATTATATTATATTGAAGATATTCATTCTTCGAATTGGTGTTATTTTGTGCATTTTTCTTTCCTTTTCCTTTTCCTTTCCTTTTCTTTTTTTTTTTTTTAAATAAAAATGATTTATTTCGATAATAACCATCCTTATTATGCGTATCCAACACAGTTTCCTTTTTCATAAAAAATTTATAAAGTTGGAAATTCTTTTTAAGGAATTTTAATACATTCTTAACACTTATCCGTCTTTTCTTATACAACGTACTTATATTTACATTTCTTCTTTCGTAAATATTTATTACGTATTTCCACATATTTTTTATATTTTCTATTTGTCTTTTGACTGATATTTTGTGTATGTTGGTGATTTTAACAATCTCGTTCGTGTACTTTGAGATGTTGTTAATGCTTTTATATTTTATAATTTCCTTCTCCAAATTGAAGTCAATATTGTAATAATTTTTTATCAATTTTAGCGCTTTATTTTTGCTTATCGGGATGTAAAAATTGGAGAAACGCAAATCCAAATTGGTCAAATGATGGGACAAAATGTTAAAAATGTAAAACTGCTGTTTTATGTATAAACATAAAAAATGGTCGAACAAAATGTTCCTGCCTATGTAATCGCTTTCCTTATTTTCCATGTTAAACATATTCATAATTCTGTTTTTTACAAAAAAAACATTGTCTTTGTATTTCTCTCTAACCGCATTGTCCACTTCCTTGCTAATCACATGGTCGCTCCTTTCTTTGTTCGTTGTTTTCCCCTCTACAGCGTCGCCGTCGCCATCAACATCGTCATCGGCTGCGTTGTTCAACTCGTTCTTTCGTTTGATCAAGTTGGCATAGAAGTTGTTCTGCAGCATACACAGCACTTCGAATTCTGCGGAGTGGGCAAAAGGGTAGACGCATGAGAATATTTTCTTTTTTCATTGTTTTTTCGCTCCTTTTTTGGCCGCCTTTTGTGAATGTCATAATAACGCCATTTTAATCGCAGGCGCCCCCCCCCCCCTTACCATTGTGCCCTCGGAGCCACAGGTCGAAGATCCCAAAATTTATTTCAGTAATATTTGGTGAAAAAAGCGGTATTACAAATTCCGTGGTGTCCATCTTATTTCCACTTTTCTCCTCACATTCAATCTTTAACTCACGCACAAAAAAAAAAAGGGTTATTCTTTTTTTTTTTTTACTCACTAAGCATATTGCACTTGTTTCGTCATTTTTCCCTTTCCTTTATCCAACCTTTGCTTGCACATAAAAATGAGCAAGCACATTACCACTGTTCTTTTCGTATATTTCTGCCACTGAGCTGTTACACCGTATATGAATTCTTAACTCATTCATCCCATTAAAGAATACTAATGGTCACCATTAAAAAGGGCACACACGCGGACAACGGTATGCATAAATATTTGCATATATATGCGCAAGTTTTAAAAAAAAAAAAAGCATGCAAGTTTTTTTTCACTTGTGTACACAAATCTGGACTAAAAAAAAAAAAAAAAAAAACGGGAAGGAAATGCAGAAAAGAAAATGTTTACACAATTTCGTTTCCTCTTATATTTATTTTAAAAAGCGTCACACGTACTCTATGCAATTGTACGTATGCAAATTCAAACTTGTGGTTATTCGAAGGATGGGCTTCAAGGAGTGGCAAAATTTCGCGCACAAGCATTGCTCCTATGATGACCCATCCCCACGAGTGGCGCAGCAACATGGCACTGACAAATCATGTAGTACCAAACCAAGCAGCGCCTGACGACAGTGTAACAAAACAAATACACAAAAGGTGCAAAATGACAAAATACGTAAGAAGGGGAATGCAAAAGTGAATTCCAAAAAAAAAGTGCCATCAGTTCAGTCCTTTCGCACTTCATCAACAGTGCCGCACGAAGCATATATATAAAAACTGCACAGGGAGTAAATTAAACAGAATAGAGGGAGAGTGGTTCCCTCCACAGAGATATATACACAAACAAAACACCCATAGGTGCACACTAAAAATGCCAGAAAATGTCATTTTTATTAACATTGTCGCTGCCACATCACGGGTCATTTTCATTACAATTGTCGGCATAATTTAAAGACTCCTTGTTGTAGCATTCCTCAGGGTCACGCACAATATGCTCAGTTGATTGGATGTCCTCGTTGCTCGTGTATGTATATTCGCCATTAGGGCTGCCATACACGTCGTCTTCACGTGTCACACTTCTGCTAACGTGCTGATAACCATTTTTACAATAACTGTCATTGTGATTTATATGCACAAAATCCGCGTCGGGATCATCTGGAAGTTCCTCATTCGTGTAATTGTGCACATGTGCGCCATGTTCATTTTGTTCTTCATAAGGATTCTGCTTGGCATAGCTCTCGTGGCCCTCTTCGCCAAACTTTGCACCTATTGCGTCCGTGCCGAAATTGTCATTTGTGGTGTGCACATCCCCATAAGCACCGACGCGGTAGGGATTATGATGAACACTGCTGGGCGCCGCGTCCACTTTTTCGTGGCTGTTAACTGTCTCCTCACTAGTCACGGTGTCCTTTCTGCTAAAATTTTCACAACTATTATAGCTGCCATATTTATATAAATTAAAAAGATCCTCCTGTTCCTCTGGGTACCCATCATCCCACCTGATGTTACGTACTCCCTGTTTTACCCTATCTTCCTCCATTTTTCTCCTTTCCCTATACGAAAAGGTAGTCCCGTTATCATCTGCACCCTCGTCTCGATAATTTGTACTCTTATGCCTATCACCACTATTGCCACACCGGTTGATGATACTAATTTTACACTTCCCTTCATTGGTCATCTTCGGAGCATTCCCATCAACCCTTTTGCCAAATTTTCTCCCAGTACTAAACTGCTCAATGTCCACTTCTTCACTTTTCAGTTGGTGCATATAACTCATGCTACTTATTTGTTCCTTCACAAAAACAGCATTACAGTTGTTCCTGAGGTGAACCAAAATGTACATATTAACTTCTTCGTGCCTACTGAGGTAAGGAAAAGAACCTCCCGATTTCAATATGGCATGTTTAGCATACGGGTAGGCATGTTTCATGTCCGCATTTAGGCTATCTGAATAGGTATTATTTAAGGTCTGCAAAATGGTGATACTCTTATCGTTGATATTAATCCTGTCAACGCTTTCCGATGACAGTTGCAAACTTATTCTTCCCCCTAGGTCTGCAGACGTTATTAAATCCACTTCGTTACTCATGAACTCTAGTGAATTTTTCTCCTTCAAATCTATATTCACATAATTTACATAAATATAATTTTCCAATATGATTTTTTTTAATAACACATGAGGCAAAAAGCTATATAATTTCCCGTACACATTTCTGAACGCTGCAACTGCAGCAAAATCATCTGTCCTTCTGTACGAGTTGCACAATATTAAAGACTCCACTTTGGAAGGGTACAATTTTGCATATAACTGCATTAGGTATCCACCCAAATCGGAGGCAAAAAAATGTGCCTTCTTTATATTTAAATATTCCAATATGTTACACATATTTTTTATCCAATCCTTTAGGTAATTATAACATGGGTATTGAAATGATATAACTCGGAACCCTAAATTTGACAATGCGTCTAGTTGGTAAAAGTAACACCCAGCTGTCCCACATATCCCATGCAAAAATATCACAATGTTTTCATTTCTGCTGTTAATGTCGTAGTAGGACCATACTAGGTCGCTCTTTGGCATGGATAATTTCTTCAGGGGGTACTTTGAGCAGAAGCTCTTATACGCTTCATGCATTGATGCGTTTGGCGACTCCATGGTGGATTTCTTCGACTGTTCAAAAAGGGGACACCAAACTGGCCGCTTACAAAGGTTATTCCTTTGCACAAAAAAAAAAAGGGGCAGAATAACAACAACGACAGGGTTAAACACTCACATCAGTGCACAATACATGGAAAAACAACTTCTATAAGAGACCATCGCCTAGCACATAGGTATATCGCACGCACTTCTCTGACCGTGCGCATCTTGCCCACCTTCCGTATCTCCCCCAATGTGCCCTCAGCGCAAGCCGCTCTCTATCTGTTCTTCTTCAATCAGGACGCGCAAGTGTGGGGACGTCAAGCGCCATGCAGAACTTATCGTCACAGTTACACGCTATATAGTGTATATATAAATATATCCCCACGTATGCAGGTACCTCGTTGCGTCCCTATTTACCCCAAGCCTCGTGGCAATGCATCACGTGTACTCGACTTCGCCCCCAATGTATGCCTTCACGAATGGGAACAAATCACGCAGCGATGATTCTGACCCAGCTACACAGTACTGTCAAAAACAAGGGGAGCGCTAAAAAAAAAAGTATTACCTATATTGGTTTTAAAAAAAAAACAAAAGGACAATAAATGTACACGCGCTTAAACATGTTCATATGCATATATACAATACTGAGGCATCATTACGGGGAACACTCGTAAACCATGTATGCGAAAACGCGTGTAACATAGTTTCTGCTCTCATCCTCATTTTACATTTTGCAACAACATTTAGGGGAAACATTAGCCGTGATTTAAAAATTTTATGAAAAATAGAACGGCCATAAAAACGGAAAATCAAATTAGCAAAAATGCAGTTTCCAGATATGTAGGTATTGTATATATGTTGCCATATGTATATTTCCTCATGTGCAAATTTTTTTTTTTTTTTTTTTTTTTTTTAATCATGTATAAAATTTATGTACACGTTAACTAGTTCCCTCACCATAGTACCTTCTTAAGCGTCACATGTAGACTGCCTTTTCCCCCTGTGCACTTGGAAATGCGATTGCTGATGAGGATGTAAAGCGCGTTGTACGTCGTTAGTTACCAGTTACAAAATCATGGGCCACCTCCTCAGCGAGCCCCATGCTGCGCTTAATTTGTTTTATTCATCCACGCCTGCCCTTCACTCTGTTGCTGTTGCTAATAATGGCGCGGAGTAGTGGCCCTTGAAATTTCCCCGTTCGTCTTGGTGAATTTACAAAAAAATATGTGCTTCAGATTTGCGAAAAAAGTGCTGCGCATTTATACGTGCAATATATTCATTTGCAACAAAGGGTGATGCGATTTTTCCCCCCATCAGGAGAGAATAATATGACATGTAATAAAAATGGGAAATGCTTAATGAAGATGTTTTTCCAACTTTATCAAATGTTGCTTTGATAACGGTATGAAGGTCAGCATGCGATGAAGAAAAATTCTAATAAAAACTGTGTATTCATTTTGTGTTTTGTCTTTGTTACATTTTGCCACTAATTATATATATGTATTTTTTTGTTTTTATTTTTTTATTAACGTTTCATTATGCAGGCTGCGTATGCGCGCAAAATGTGTTCATGTGTATACTATGCACATATGCGTGAATAATATGCGCATAAGTGAACACACGTCAAGTCATCCCGTTCGCCCTCAGCGGAGAAATATACGGTTCTTTACCTTTAGCAGCTTCGTCATTTCTCACCGCTCGTTGGCGCATTCGTGCTTTCCCTCTTTGCAAGTTGGTGAAAAATTATAATTGCTGACCCTTAAACCTTGCAGACACGCAAAAGGGGGAAAACAAAAACGAAAAATTGCGAAAAAAAACAAACTATATACGCGATATGTACACACAAATACGCATCTTCGCAAATGTTCACGTCTGTTTTGACATTTCATCTTCGTGATTGATGTGTTAGAACGCAACATGGAAGAACATCCTAACCGTTTTAAGCGCTTTTTTTTTTTCGTCAAAAAGTGTTTATGGGTGTAAGCTTCAAAATGCATATATTTCGTTTTGTAGAAAACACACCACTTTGCATTTTCCTTTTTGTTTTTTTTTTTTTTTTTTTTTTTCTTATTTATTTGTTTAACAATGAAGTTATGTTCATATTTCAACATGCATGATTGTTGCCACACATTTCCTCCTTTCTGATTAAAAATGCTTAATTTGGTTCAAAAAAAAAAAAAAAAAAAAAAAAAAAAGAATTTGTTCAGTACAATTCCCCCTTAAAAAGGTTAACACTTTGCTTCTCCGCCCTCACTTTTTTCATTTTTTATTGTTATTAAATGCATCCAAAAAAACGTAAATGTGTAATGGTAATATGTATATGTACACATTTGTGTCTGTTTTTTTTTTTCTCCATTCCTACAAAAACCACGAATGGAAGACAGGGAGGCGCCCCTTAAAAGAGCGCTTTTGCAATTTTACACGGAAAAAATATAGTAAACTGTCATATGAAAGAACTGAAAAATCAACAAGTTGAAAAATTATATTTAGAAAGGTGTACCCCTCTTTCTATGCATCCCCTTTTTTGAAATTCCTCACTCCTCGTCGCTTCCGGAGGGAAATAATTTCCTTAATGCATCTCACCCTGGGGCTGCTGAAATTAGGGTCTTTTTACCGTTGTCACGGAAACGAAAACGAATCATCGGCGGATCACGCATAAAAGGCGATCTTTCCCATATGTAGAAACAACCCGCAAAACGGGAAATGAGAAATCGACATAAGCACACGTCGCTTTGGGTTCAATCGAACTTGAAGAGAATGACCCCAAACTCAAGCGTGTCCGTACTGTGCACGTGTCCATAGCAAGTTAAAAGCTAAGAAAAGCTACATAGAGCTAAAAGGAGCAAACGGAAGGTGTCCTCTACATATTAATCAAACACCACGCTGAAATTTCATTCGCAACGGAAAAGGGAACACGTAAACGCTTCCCCTTTTTCAACATTAAAATGTTCATAGAAAACATCAGCTATTATGAATCTACATATGTGAATATATATTTTTTGTACCACAAAAGAGGCACTCTCACAATTGGCAACGAGATGTGCCATCACACCGAAAGGTAGAGGAATTTATGGTACGCCACAATTCGTTTGCCTTCTTTTAAAACGTAGTGTTAATTATGTCCCAAATCGGGATGGTGAATAACGCAGACACAAGAGGCATTATGCGATATTGTACAAGGAGGGATAGTCGTTAGTTTGCGAAAATTTTCTATGCGCACAGATTTGGTAACAACACTTGTTTTTTTGGTTCCCCAATTTTTTCCCATTTCACATATGTTATAAGTTATCTACACTTTTGCAGCGTTTAATAATATTTCCCTTGTTGGCTCGTCTCATTACAGTTCGTTTTACTCATTTTAGTTTTTCTGCTGATACTGCTTTGTTGGCTCGGTTTGCTGCATTGGGTAATAAAACCTTCCCACAGGTGTAATTTGATTTTTTTTTTTTTTTGTCCACGTCATCGCTGCAGTCATTGCTACTGTTTCGCCTCCCCGCCTATCGATATCTCCTTTTATACCCCATTCGAAAAGCGCAAAAGAGGTGCTGCATACCAACATGAAAGGGAAACATCGAACAGTAAAGGGAACAATCGGAAAGCATGTTCAGGGAAAAGATTAAAAGCTTCACCCATTTAATTATGTCCCTTCCGCTGAGCATAAGAATCAGAAGATGGAAGAGGTACGCCAGAGGGTAGAACGAGGAAAGGAAAAAATTAAACAAATTGGTAAAGAAATTAACCAATTTGATTTAAAAAAACGTGTAGAAAAATTTTTTTTTAAAAATGGAAAAGAGAAGGAACTTAGTGACATGCTATTCTTGGTACAATACTCACTGAAATATAAAAACGTCTGTAAATGGCCGAATTATAATGATTTGTTAGTAATAAATTATAACATAAATGATCATTTCAAATCAATGCTTCAAAAACATGGGGGATTTGGTCACCACTATAAAAACGTCACACCTGATGGAGGGACAAATAACACGACGACGATGAACCGAGGCGGGGAATCCACACTTGGGAGTAGCGATAAAAGCGCCACAACGAATCACAACGCTGAAGACAATGCTCCCCATACAGCAGAGAAGCACATAGCCGCTAACTGGGAGAATGGCATAGAGAGCAAGACTAACACACCATGGAGTATAGCACACAATGAAGACCAAAATTACCCCGACGCAACAGGTTTAACAAAAGGCGAAGTTCCACATAATTTCCCTTCAGATAACTCCGTGCCAAAATCTCCCCCTTCGAAGGAATGCATTCCAAATAGCGCACGAAGAAAAAGGGAAAACAAATTTGTGACCCACTTTAATGAAGACATAAGTCCTTACGACAAAATAAAGTTGCAAATTTTTATGTACTTCGTGTTGAACAATTATAGAGTTAAAATTTTAGTGGACGCATTATCTGCATTAAATCGCCCAATTAACGTTATATACATAAATTGCCCTAATAATAAAGAGCAGAACAGGACATTTTTTCAAAAGGTGGGGAGCTTCTTTACTCGCCAGTACAAAGTCGGTGATGTTTTCGTGAATAATAAAAATAATTATCTGCCAAAGGGCACGGAAAATTGCTCATGCTCGGAATTGTCCCCCATTAGGTATAGTAATAACCCAAACATTGCTCCTTCCAAGGAAAAAAAATCAAATTACGTAGGTGGTTACAACCCTATAAACAATACCATTTGGCTTTGTTCAAATAATATTAACAATTATTATAAGCTCAAATATATACTAACGCATGAACTTATACATGCCTTTGATTTTGCAAGGGCAAATATAGACATGTACAATTGCCACCACATTGCTTGTTCCGAAATAAGAGCCTATAATATGAGCAATCAGTGCAGCTATTTTAACAGTAAATATTTTTCCCCCGATTATGATGTGTTTACTAATTTTAAAAGCCCCTCAATTAGAGCTACCCCCAAAAATAAATGCATATATAATAATGTGTATTCTTCTCTTAACCAGTACAAGCCTTGTACCAACAACACCCATCAGTTTATAAATGACGTCTTCGAGAAATGCATGCACGATTACTGGCCCTTCATGTGCTCGCCCGAACAGGACAGCAAGTATAAGCCCTCCAAAATTTTTAAAAAGGATTCCTAAGCGCCAGGCACGGAGGTGTATACCTCCCCGTGTGCATACCAGCGCAACCCCCTTCAAACCGTTTGCTCCATATTTTTTTTTCGTGAATTCGTATACATAATTAGCTAAAATGATACTTAAAACTAATCGAAAGCAAAAAAAATATAATTTTTTTTCCCCTAATATTTGTGAAAGTCCTCGTGTACTGATTTGCTCTCGATTCATCTTAAGAGGTACAGTTGCAGGAGCAATACCCACTGACATGACATCCCTGAACGTCTATCTCTGCCATGCATTCCCTTACAAATTTGTGTTCGTGATCGGACACACTTATCGTCCGGCACGACGAATATTCATATGGGTGCCACACTTTGGGCATAAAACAAGGCGTTAAAATGATGCGATAATTTACAAAAAAAAAATAAAATAATAAAATAAAATAAGGCCAAAAAAAGGAGGAATGCTTTGTACATTAATTCAGCAGGGGTTCACACAACATGTGTACATGCTACGATGATAACGTGTTCAAATATTAAACCGCTTATAGTGCCCATTTGAAGGCGTTGAAGGAACAAATATACGGCTCGCAGAGGTTGAGCCCAAATGAGAGGATAAATAAATGAGCACCTTTGGGGACATGCACACACCTGTGTACACAGTGGTATGCGCGAAGCAGAGCCGTGCAGTGGCTACCCCTCTATTTCCTTTTTTTTCTGTTCCTTTTTTTTTTCACTTAACCCATTTTAATTTGCAACGCACATTCACACCACTGATTGTCGTTTTTCCCCCCTTAGCTCTCCTTCTGCGTACAGTAATTTTCACTGTTCTTCCCTTTATTTTTCATAAGGTCTGTGTTTTTTTCCGTGGAAGGTATTTCCTGCTCCTGTGTCTTTTCCTCTTTCTCTTCCACCTTATCGGTCTCTAAATAATCAGTAATGTTATCTTCTACCTGTTCGTCTAGGATGCTTTCCTCGATTAGGGACAACTCTGCATCGATTTCGTTTTCGTCCAACTGCAGAGGTATATCATAAGAGGAACATAACATTTCTCCAATTTCTTTTGCCTCTTCCATATAATTAAAAAGGTCGTCTTGTAATTTTTCTATTTTTCCTATATTTACTTTTTTCATATTTTTTTTCATAATTTTGCTTGCGCTCTCCAGAGCCTTACATGTATCAATTGACATTTGCACATTATCATTTGCATATTTGATTTGGTCTATATTGAATTGAATTCCAAGTGTATTTTCTTTGTTGCTCTCATACGTTTTTTTTCTCTTAATGATGATCGCAGCTTTGTTTCTTAAGTTGTTAATGGCTTGTTGATTCACTGGCTTCTTTTTCTTTTCTTCTTCAATTTTTTGCTTAATTATGTTTAGCTCCTTGTTATATTTGTCGATATTATCATCAATACTCTTTACGCTCTTTTCCAGGTTTCCTGCAAAGGGATGTGCGTGTGTTCATACGTAGGGGCATTTACTTTACCGTACTCTTGCACTGGCCTTGCACGTGCGGTGTTGTGACCATGCACAAGACGCGTAGATGATTAATAAAAAGCAAAAGGGGGTGAGAGGGACAAACATATGAATCCCTAAAGGAAATACACACCTTACATGGTGTTTATTTTATTTATTTATCTTTTTTTACGCGCAAAAATGTTATTACCATATGCGTCGTCCAACGTGTGCTCCTTCTTAGGCTTGAAAAATCTGAGGGGGGAAGATCGTTCATAGAAAGAGATAAAACCACGTGGGGCAAAATGGAGCAAAACGGGGCGGCGTGCAACGAAATGAAACGTGGCCAACCCCCTACGAGTACATCACAAGGAGCATGTAAATAGATTAAATATGCACACGACGAAGCATCCGTCGAGCCCCCTTCCTGCGGTTGGTAATTGCCCCTCCGCCGTACTTCATGGTTCACTTGTCTGTTTTGTAAAAATGCTTCAGAGAAGGTTGATTTGTTATCCCGTGGACTTAAATGTATTTGTCCGCTCAGCTGAACAGGTTATCAAGTTGGTCTTCCCTAAATATATGTGCTGTTGAAAATTTGTGCGTTTTCCACGTATGTCCCCCTGTGTTGCTAAAACACGCCCAATGTTCAGGCACGAGTATTTATTTACGTAAATGTCCTGACGTGCGTTTATTTATTGTATTATTTTTTTTTTCCAACGATTTTGCTTTTTACGATGTGATCATTTTTTGTATTGCCTTCGTCCCAACGTTATCTATTTTTTTTTTTTTTTTTTTTTTTTTCGTCAAGTACGATCTCAGCCCTTTCCCGTGGGTATAGTAACAATCATTACATGGAAAAAAAAAATATATGCTCATTTGCTAAGAAGTCGTGCTTCTGCGCCCATCATTTCCACTCCCGTAAAAGCTGATTTTGCTTCAGTAAAAATGTACGCAAAATTATCCTATTTATGGAGAAAGAAATTGCCGTAATGTTATGTAAACAATTTGGGGTGAATAATCCAGTTGTAAAGGCTGTGTGGAGAATTCCATCCCGCTCACAGCTTAACATTTTAACATAATTTTTTTCCAGTTCCCCTTCTTCTGTTTTTTGTTCTTTCCTTTTTTTTAGCTACATGTTACACAAAGAATTAACCTCGTGAGCTGCTAATCAACCTGGCACATTAAACAGCACACGTAAGCGGATACATTATGACATAGGATTAACAGGTTGGGACAAAACCCCATTCCCTGTGCGACAGTAAAAAAGAAAAAAAAAAAAAAAAAAAAAAAAAGGGAAAAAATGGTTACTGCTATAAAGGGAGTCTTAGTGAAATGCGACGAGCCAACCATGCAAATAATTCTGCTCATGAATGAAGAAAAAAATTTCTTGATAGAAAAAATCAGTGACACAGTTTGCTTGTGCAAAGAAAATGTATACGACTTTTTGGAAAAAGAAGTAATAAGACAGTTGGAGTACACAGAAAGGCACGAAACGGAAGAATAATGCGGAAATTATTTCATGTGCCGCATTGTCTTATATTTTTTTTTTTTTTTTATACATCTGAGGGGACTATACGATGCCAACACGTACTCTGAAAAATGGCCAGTCGCTCAAAAAAAACGTTGTACTTTTTCAATTAAACGTTATGCGCCGTATTCCAAAAATGCGATTTTTTTAAGGAGCACACTGCCCAATAGTGTGTGCACGTGTTTGTGTATGTAAATGAATATACATACATGGAAAGCAACGGAGTAACCTTTTTTTGTATGTGCTTGTGTGATTTTCTCCCTTTTCCTACCAACTAACTCTTAAAAAAATGCAAATTTGTCTGACAATGGAATAGGACATTGAATATAGTGCACAGTTTGCACAAATGGGAAGAAATAACAAACATACATATCAATTTCAAACAAACACACAGCTTCTTGAATGATACATATTTGTTCGAATAAATGAGCACGGGGACGAATCAAATCAGTAAGTGCTGTTAATCCTGTAGCTTATGTCATCGATCAACCACATAAACGACTTTAGTAACCCCTTTCCCGAAAAAGCGCTGCATTCATTTATGCACCAGTGGCGGTCGATGTTCATTTCGTTTAGCTTCAAAATCTGCGAGGCGAATTGTTCAAAGGCACGCATGGGTATTGTGTGTTTTTATATACACAAAAGTAGCGCACTCGACAGGTGTTACGAATTATGCCTTACACGAGTACACTTCAAAAAGAAGCCATCATGGAGCTCAACTGAACTGCGTATGAGCAAAAGCATGCACATATATCTTTGCGCATGTGCGTTCGTTCGACTCTCCCCTGCCAACGCACCCGCACACCAAACACAACTACACAAATGCGCAACCACAACAATACTTACCTCAGCGATTTGCTCCACATTTAAAGAGTTCTCTATGTCTACCTTGTTAGATAAAATCAGTAGGGAGCATCCGAACAGTCTCTCCTCTTTTAAAATTTGTTTCAACTCATATGAACATAACTGAATTCTAAACAAATCGGAGCTATCAATGACATAAATAATGCCGTCTACATTCTCATAATAATTTTTCCAAAAGTGCCTAATACTTTTCTGCCCTCCTATGTCCCATATATTAATAAGGTGCTTATCAAACTGCAACGTCTCAATGGTAAATCCGAACGTCGGACTTACTTTATAAATGTCTTCCCCCAATAACCTCTTCACGATTGTCGTTTTCCCTGCGTTGTCCAACCCTAGTATGATTATCCTCAAATTTTTTTGCTTTTCCTTTATTTTCTTGAGAATTTTCAGGAGCACCATTTTGGCGCGTTCCGGAGGAGGGCGAGAGGTTCCTTACAATCACGTGGACGAATGGCGCAGTGTGCGTACATACGTATATATGTACATACTTATACACACACACCTGCGTGCAGCCTGCACATGTATGCGGATAGGCGCACGTCCCCAATTACTCACTTCAGATAACAGGTAATTTCATCACCTTTTCTCTCCTTAATGTTTCTTGTGCGTGCATTTTTAATGCTTCTCTGTTGATTAATTACTTCCTCGCGAAATGGTAACGCAGTTCAGGAGCTTCTGTACCGATACGAAAAATATGCCATTAAACAGGTTGTCCTCTTGCCTTTCGAAATAGGAACATTTTTAATTATTCATGGATTAAAGTGATACCAATAAAGTCATGCACGGAAAGCAATGTCGCGCTCAAGTACACTCACAAGAACTTCCAAAGGGAGAAATGCCCCAAAAGAATTCCTCAATTTTTACAAATCGACTTTCTACACATGCACATCATTCCCCTATTAATAATTTAAACATCCTTAGGGGTGTAATCAAAATAAGTAAAAAATGCCCAACCACATCGAAGCGAGGCCAACTTTAAAAAATCACATAAATTTTAATGCCTTTGTCCCCATTGGTGTATGCGCGCAACATGGCAATAACCTCAATGGCCACAGTAGCTGGTATTATATTTGCCCTTTTTCCTAATTTAATTCAGTTTAATTGTAGCAAAAAATAATAAAAAGTAACGTCGCTGTTCACTTCATAGTACAAACACATTTGTGCATTGAAGAAGTAGGAAAAAAGGGCAAGGTAAAATTTACAGGCAATGGGCACAAATACCATCGAACTTGATATGAACACGTCATGGAAAAAAAAAAAAAAAAAAAAAAAAAGGTAAATTTCCCGCGAAATAGCAGTATTATCTCAAAAAAAGGAAAGTCCTACTGTGAAAAACTAAAAACACAAAAGACTGTTATTCAAAACACCAATGTGTAATGCCCCGGACTATACAGGCCCAAGGTGTACACAAATAACTCCTTTCCTTAAAGGCAATTAAAAGATTTCTTCCAGTTCTTCCAGAAAAGTTAAGTTTATTAAATTATTCATTTCATTCAAATCTGTTAAACACGAAGTAAAAAAAAAAAAAAAACGAAGAGATGAAAATTAATGTGAATTCTTTTTTGTTACAGCACTGAACATACAAATTTGTAGAAAGCGGATAACTTCCTGAAGTGTTTAATTATGGTAGATACATAACTCCTTTTCTTTGCTCCCACGTTTCCCATTTACACCAAGTAGAACAGGAGTAAACATGCACACCTCCTTGTACACATACGACCATTGTAGCAGTATGCCGCTTAACATGTCTCATGTATAGGGAGGGAAAATCCTCTCCCCCTGTTGTTCTTTATATTCTTTTGCTTACTTAATGAATTTCCTCCATTCTGTACGTACACTATATCGCTTAACGTATCATCTTCATTCACCTACAAATGAGAAGAAGCGGAGTATGACACGCATATGCAGGTAACGAACCAACGCACTCATGGGACACTCCCCTCAAACAGAAGTAAAAAGGATAATGGGGCGCCTCATTACCTTCCCTAAAACTTCGACATACTGATCTAACTTGCCTTCCCCTTGGTTTTCACTCAAAAAGCATTTTATTTCTTCATCTGGGGAGAATTCAGTGTTTGGGAAAAAAACATCGGGTGTTCAAGCGCGGCGCCAGAGTACACGCGCGCATATTTATACATACACACGGCATGTATCTACGGGGGTGCACATTTGTCTAGCACATCTACGAATGTACAGATGCATACACATGCTTATGCGCACACGGTGTGATCATGTCACGTTTGTAGGGCCCTCTCCTTACTATCACACGTTTGAAGAGTCAGTTCTGCTCCTTCCTTCTTTACAACCTTGCCCAATACTCGCACATTCTTGTTGTAAAATTTGCTCAGGTATTTTTTGTTCACTCTCCTACAGTTTGGAAAACAGAAAAAAAAAAAAAAGGGGGTAGAGAAAGACTCTCATAAAAACGCACGCGCATGGCTGCATATGTATATATATATGTACAGGTACATATGTGCCCAAGTGGGGAAATGTAAATTTGTGTGCAAGGATAGGGTCTATCATCCCCTCATTGTCCATGTGCCTCCAACTTACGGCGCTATGAACTGTTCCATTTTGGGGTTCACGGGAAAGGTGTATTTCGTACGCTAGTTTATACAACGTTAAGAGATTGCTGGCGTACAGGCATATAAGGATATGTCGAGAAATTTGCTCTCCTTGATGTGCCGCTCTTATGCCAGGGTTGCCAGATGATTGTGGGTCCCTCCGAAGTAGAACGTTCGCCTTTACGTTAAAATAAGCAGTGACCAATTGGGGAGTCATAAAAAGAGTGTACCCCTTCCCCCTATTGGTGAACGATGGGAAAATAAAAATTTTCTCGAAGAAAAAATTTCTGGTCGTAAAACACGTAATTTTTTTTTTTTTCTTTTTTGGGATTATGTGCGGGTGGAAGAGGCTCATGCGCAATTAGCAAAATTTTATCCAATTAAAAAAAAAAAAAAAAGAACGAAGGAAGGAATTTATAAAAAGGGGCCTTTTTATGAACTGCAGTTGTGATGTGCACTGAGCTAGTTTAGTCACGTTAGGCTTTATTACATGGGCGGGCACGTACATGTGCATACGCCTCACCATCGACAAGTTTGCTTACATGGTGAAATTACGTGCACTTTGAAAAGACAAATTTGTGAACAGCGGAGGGGAAAAAATGTTTAGCAAATTGTGCGGCGATGCTTAAAAAATGAAGGCATACGCGCACATATACACATATGTATATAACATGTATGCTTTTTTTTTTTTTTTTTTTTTTTTTTCTTCTTTTGATGCACAAACGTGCCGCTCATTTGAGCAGCCATTAGTTATGTTCCAAAAGAGCAATGTTTTACACTTCTACAAAAAAAGTGAAAAAAAACAGCTACAGAGGGGAATTACACATTGTTATGTACAAGGGAATACACCTCACTGAGAATGTATGGAAAGCCCGTGTATCGCACAGTCCTTATGGGCTTGCCCCCCGTTCCGGAGGACCAACATTACGAAAACCATATGTTACACGTATGCGCTATAGAGGACGGGTTCAAAACAATGTGCTCCTTTCTTTTCGCAACTGTGTAAGAACACATGGAACGATAAAGAAGGATGCCACAGACAGATAACCAATTGACGAACGCTTCGGACGACGCTCCGCCGCATACGAGACTAAAATTAGGGGACCCCAAATTAGCACATATTGCAGAAGAATGCAAACCATTTACACATCTCTCCCCATGCACAAGTCACTTTTGGACATCGCGATACTTAAAAAAGGCCTCCCTATCAAATATCTTTTGCTCATCGGATAGGGTATAATTTTTTGAAATCTTTGAGGCCTTCTTATGATTAGGCGGTTTGGTAATCATGCCCAGGTTCTTCTTCCGCATGAGCACCTTGTTCTTCTCCTTCTTATATTTGCTTTCCTGTTTCTGTGCATATCTCACCATGACGTCTACCTTTTTAACTGGGCTGGTAATTTCGGTGGAAATCTTCTTGCGGGTCATTTTCTTAAGCCACTTGTTATACTTGGAGTTAATATAATTCCAGCTGTTCTTCCTTTTATCGTAAACGGTGGAGTTGTTGCTTAACTTAAAATAGTCCGTTGCCAAATCGATCGGAACGTGAACAATATCAGTAGTTCTTTTTTTTCCAAATAATTTTAATTTTTTGGTTCCCTTGATAATACTGCTTCTGGTTTTTAAGCCAATGTAACGTTTCTTCACACCGGTGTTTTGTCCATACGTGGGGGACGCCCGCTGGTGGGGTGGTAGTTCACCGGAAGAGCCACTAGATATTGGTGAACTTTTTTCAACAGTGGTGCTGTCCCCTTGTGAAGCAGAACGAACAGTAGTAATGTGCGGTTTTCCCCTTTGTACATTTTTGCCTTGTCCAGGTGTGCCCCAACTGGTTTGTATGTCTAAATTTTCCAGCTGCCTACTGCTGTACATCTTGTACGAATCTGACTTGATTTTTTCGTATATTTGATGCGTGTCTTTATCCTTTATGTTAAAGGTGTAATTGGAGAGGCTGTCACCATTCTGTGTGGCCGCTTTACTCCTCTTTAACCCACTAGCATAATCCTCAGGGGTATACGTATCTTCTTCCTCCAACAAAATGCTTTCCTTAACCTTGGAATAATCCTCACGTTTAAACTGATCGCTCCATGATTTGCTGTTGTTTTCTTCAAACAGATTATCCATTTTTACATTTTCGCAATGGAGGTACTCATATTTGTTCTTATTTTTTTCATCCGATAAAAGTAGACTATCCAAAAGTAGCTCCTTTTCTAGTTCCATCGAGTCGATATTACTTAGCAAAGGCAGATTTGAATAATCACCAGTTTTGTTTTTACCCCTCCCACTGTGGGGAACATCCAAACCGTTTGTACAATATGTTGCGTGATTATCACCCACCGGTAGCTCCGCATCCCACGTCTGTTCCGATAGCGTTTCGTCGCTCCTCTCGTAGTTTTTCTCATTTTGTTCTGCGCAAATCTTTTTTCTGGCTCCTCCGTGAGACCTTCCCCATGGTGATAAATCTGCACTAACATGCTTGCTGGATATGTCGTCAATGGTCTCCCCCCAAATGTGCTTCTTCTCCCTGTCACCTTCCAATTGCTGTTCGCTCAACTCCAAGCCTTTCTTGTATTTCCTTTGTTTATTTTGCATGTAGGTGGTCCCTTTATTGTAATGACTCTGTGTGCTGTTCACGCAGAACAGTTCTGCACCATTCACCTGCCTTGAAGATGAGTCCGCCAAAATCTCATCTTGGTGACCCAGTTTACTGCATTTCTCAATCACGTTGTCAATAATATTTAGGTCGTTCTCGTTAAACTCTTCACGGCACTGGCGCAGAAACTTTTCTTGCAGGGCGTTTATTATGAGCTTCATGTGGTAACCCATGCATTGATTAAAAGGTGGGTCTACGACCGGTTTGTCCAATTTTTTCCACCTATTTAATGCGTCCGATATGGTGTCATCGCTGAGTAGTATTTCCTTCGACACAATGTCACCTACATTGGTAGCATTGTTTTTACTTTTGCTTTTTGTGTTCCCCCCGTTTGGGTGGTTGCCCGTGGGGATGTTAAACTGGTCCTCCACTGCGCCGCCAACACCGATAAGGCTGCTATTGGCGCCCACGGCCAACTTCCTCAACCTCCTCTGTTCGATCAAATCGTTGATCTTCATTACGATGTTATTTTTGACGATGGTTTTGTTGAGCTGGTATCTGGCAATTTCCCTGCGCAGCTCATTCAAGTTCTGTCTTTTCAGGGAACTGAGGGGAATAATTGGGGCGTCCAAATTTTTAAAGCACGCGATTTCTTCGTTGGCGATTTGCATTTTTATGGCTAAGTCTTTCGTATTCAGTAAGTCACATTTGCTAAAGACTATCTGATATTTAATATTATATCGGTCGAAAAAATGGAGCAATTCTTTGTCACTTGTTTTTAGTCCAACTCTGCAATCAATGAGAACAAAAACTTTTTTTAAATTTTTTCTGTTTTTTAAATAAAATAAAGTAAATTCATTCCACTGTAGCCGTAATTCTTCCTTACTATGTGCAAATCCATATCCTGGCAAATCCACTAAACATAACAAACAGGGCTTGGCAATTTTGTAAAAATGTATTTCTTTTGTGCATCCTGGTAATTTACTCACCTTTGCTTTATTTGTTCTCCCACACAATTCGTTGATTAGTGTAGATTTTCCACTATTTGATCTTCCTATAAATGCTATTTCGGGATATTTTGGTAAAGGCAACTCACTTACTTCAATCGCCGTTTTGTATAATATCATTCTTGGCTTTAACTGGTCTAAGAATATGGGCGCAAAATTGGGTCTCTTTTCCTTCAGATATTTCCTTTGCACCTTATTCAATGGTTTCCCCAACATTTTTTTTTTTAACTGTTCATATATTTTTACATCAATTTTTGTGTTCCTCTCCCTCTGTCTTCTGCTTATTCCGTTGGGGCTGCCCGCCTCTCCGTGTGTTCTGTTCGCGTCGTTGGTCACACGATATCCCATATCGTTTCTTACATGGTTTCCCACACGGTTGCTCACATTTTTGCTCACCTGTTCGGCCCTCAGTTTGGCGCGTAGGCTGGCGTACCTTCGAAAAATCTGGCCTAGTAGCTGCATTTTCGCCCTACCAAGCGGGGTGCTTGGCGTTGTGTTTTGCGCAGCGTTCGGCGGCGAGCTTCTCGGTATCCTCAGCGCCGGTCATGCTGGCCATCCGTAGTTGCACATGTACGTTGGTGCCTCCTCCAAGTTGTCATTCGAGTGAGCCTTTCTCTGCAGAGTTATGCCTCTACATGTTGTACACGCGCGTATCTAACACCTTGCGCAAATCGTCCGCTGCTAGAAAACAATTTTACTTTTCTGCGCAGACTTAAAAATGGAATCATTTGCATATTCATTTGAGCGCCTTTCTGCAAAAACGTTGCTAATGCGTGGGCAACAAATTACGACGCTTTTTTTTTTTTTTTTTTTTTTTTTTTTTATGGCTAAGCAGCAATAACAAATGGCACCAGAAAAAACGCATACACACACATTAACGCTGTGCAATTAATAGCCTTTTTATTTCAACTGTTAAAGCCAGTGAAATTCCTATTTTTACTTTGTGGAGCTGTCCCCTTTTACGGTTTTTATCTGTGCTTTTCCCTTTATAGGGAAAAAAAGGCTACTCAGTGCAGCTAGTACAATTTCAGGTTGGGGAGCTTAGCCCCTTTTGCCTTCCCACGCCCCTTTTCATCTCACGATGTGCGTACATTATGCACATGGGTGACACCTGATAGGATTTTTTTTATTTTTGTGCTTTTTTTGCATTTTTTATAGTTTAAATGTTATGAAAAAAAATTATAAAAAGGGCACAATTGGAAAGAGTATATTTTTTCTTTGGTGAATACGCACAAAGGCAGTTTTCTACATAAACACAAACGTGTGAACATGTGCATGTGTACATGTGAAGGCGCAGGAAGTGAAGAACAGGTGGTGCAATGGATGGAGACGGCCTGTTGGCCTCCTCACACCCATGATTTCCGCATCGTCTGCTTCCCTTTTTTACATTTCCCCGTTATACAAAACTATATGGTCCTCAGTCACACATTCGGTCACGAATCCTACGAGTAAATTGCCGCCCCCACTCCGCATCTGTTACACATAGTACACCATGGCACATGCCATATAATACACACAAACATGGGGCATTATCAGGAGGCCTCTACGAAATTGTTCCCTGTTCTAAGGGGCAAATGATTTCTCCTTTGGACGAGAGCCACTTGGCATCTTTATAATACGCTACACCATTCTTGACGGCCAAATGTGGCTGGATGTGAAAAAAGGGATTCTTCTCCTTATCAGAACTTAAGCTTTTATCTGGTAATTTACTGACGTCCATATTTTCACAAATAATTCTCTCCCCAACGTTGACTCCAGGTGGGGGGGCAAGTAGCTCTATTTGTTCACCAAAAGATCCACACAAAACCATACCATGACTTTTTCTTCCTCTCAAGGACTTTTCCTTCAAATTGGCTAACACTAAAACGTATTTGTGTAGTAAATCTTCTGACTTCTTTTTAAGCCTTAAACCACTGCAAATGTCCCTGGATTTTTCTTCCCCCACATTTATCTTCAAACAATACAGCGTATCCGCATCTGGGTGAATTTCTACTTCCTCTACATACCCTACGATAATATTTAACCTAGTAATATCATCCAGATTCTTTGGTTCCTCTACTTTTTTTTTCGGAGTATTTTTATTTTGTGCATTATTTTTCTGTTTATTTTTTTCATTTTGTTCATTTTCATTTTTTGCCTTCTTATTATTATCCTTCTGTTGTCCCACACCTGCATTATTAGCTCGCTCACTTGGGCTCATTACATTTTTACTATTTAGAAAAGTTTCGAGACTGTCTCTTACTTCCAACTTTTTCAATGTAGTAAATTTTCCCACTATGGTTTCTTGAATATGTAAAAACCATCTATATATGTGTGAAATTTCGACTCTCTCTTTGGGGGGCATTTCACTTAAAGGTTTATAAACAGAGCAGAAATAAAAAATGTCCACTATGGAGGCATGTCTATTTGAGACAATGTATGATTTTTCACATAACAAATCATTCAAATGCTTCATGTCTAGCTGCTTCAGTGTAAATTTATCACTGGCCAAATGGAAAATGAATTCTTCATTTTCGCTCACTTTGCCTTCATCTTCGTTAAACAATTCGTTATAGCAGTCGTATATATCTATAATGGCGTAAAGCGTACAAAATAGCTCCTTGTACTTTTTGTCCTTATACTCGAAAGAAATTTTCTACAAAAAGGGAGAGAAACGGGCGTGGCAGGGATGAATGATGGAAAATGAAATAACCACGTATTTGCGTAAAGAATAAGGCACACTTGCACGTCTTTATTTTTAACCCGTTCAGTGACAACATTGAATACATGTACAAAATATAGGTGCAACACACATCGCTGGCATAACAAAAATTTAGTCCCCTTCCAAGTGAGCACATAACGGCATTATAAAATCGCTGCGCAGTTTTCTTTTTTTGTCCATTGGGAATGGACCCCCACGCATGGCGTGCAGTTATCTTATATATGAACACAATTTTCGCTTATGTAAAACCGGCTTTTGTACTTGTTCACATTTTTACCTTTTCGTGTCGCACTTCCGGAAATGCTACATTTTCATCACCTTTTATGACCACCGCTTTGATAAAGTCAAGGACCAATTTCAGAATATCTGATTTTACATCGTCCTGCACTAGCGTTAGAACACACATCTTGCTCGACAAATATTTTTACGTACTTTCTAATGGGGGTTATGTCGTTTTCATATGAAGAACAGAGCTCCTGGTTTTGTGAATTCTTTTAGCTATATAATGTAATTATATTTTTTTTCAGGTTAATAATTTTGGTTGGCGAATTAACATACTTGCTTCCTGCAGCCTTCTCATAAACATATACATGCATATAAGATTGCGTTTTATGAGCCCTGCGAACACTTTCCTTCCTCTTTTTCGATTTTTTTTCAGTGAAGGCTAGCCGCTTCGGTTTCGTTCCAAAGGTTTGTCAATTGGTCAAAGCGGTTCTTTGTTCCTGCTGTTCGTTACCCCCTTTGTGTTCACTTGATCATGCGTACATATACTTCTGTACCCTCGTACTTTTTTTTTTTTTTTTTTTTTTTTTGTAAGCAGCGTTTCACGTCATATTTGCAATATACCATTTGTAAGAGTGAAACTTCTTTTTTATGTTTTTTTTTTTTTTTCCTGCGGCGACAACCCTAATTAATTGACAACGTATTACTTATTCAACGAAATGCAGCGAGAAAAAAACATATTACAATGTAAAGATATAGGCGGGAACGAAGGGCGTCTACGCGGAAAAGAAAGTAACACGTACATATATCATATGTACTACGGGGTTGCTTCGCTTGTTGCCCCCCCCTCAAGCTTAAAAGGTTATGTCGCAATTTTTTAATTTCTACAAATTTCGAAAACCTTTAAAATGTTATATCTTTTGAAAGAAGAGAAAATTAAAGTGAAATAAAAAAAAAAACAACGTTGTAGAAAAGGCAGTCATATCGCCATTCAATTGGAAGGGGACTACAAAAACAGGTCAACATTTTGGGAGGAGTACAATACGCTGTTGTCACAAATACATCCGAATGTTCCATCCATGTGATACACGTTGAGCGTGTAAAATTTTCGTATTAGTGCGCGAAAACTCAAAATATGAATCATGTAAATGAGAACACATGCATGTACCATTATTGTGGGCAGAAATAGTAAAACCCACATCGGGAATTTATGCCAATGTCGTCCACATTCCGAGTTCTACCTTCAAAATGTAAACTAAACAGATATCGTTTGCGTCGCAGCAGTAGGAATGTATCACATGTTTGTGCGCACCTCTGCTCACAAGGTCTTATAATCCTCTTTTAAAAAACGTAGAATCCTGCACGCGCTGGTGTCTAAGCATGTTTTGCGTGGCAGGTACGCCGCAAAAATAGGTGTTCGAATGTACCATTTTGTACATATGTTCAGTTTTACATAAATCCAGAAACGCACTTGTTCGCAAAGTTTATTTCATTCTCTGTTTATGTGTACCATTCTTCTTTCACTTTTTTACTAGTACGCATGTAATGCGCATTTGTTCCTTTTGCCCGAATTGTAAAAAAAAAAAAACACAGAAGAGTAGGACATTACCTTCCACAAAAACGGATATCCAAGGTACGCTCCTTTTTTTAACGCCACGTCTTTAAAATTAAATAACGACAAATTTCTACTTTAGCACAGGGCAACAAACAACAAAAAAGTCATGCTTGCAAACCACATGTGTGATAAGTGACCATTCGAAACAGTTCAACGTCATTTGTACAGGAATCCTGTAGCAACCAAAAATAAGAGGGGTATTAAAACATGTGCGCGAAAGAATGCTCCCTTTTTATTTAGCAGTTTTTTCTGTTTGTACATCGCAATTTTGGAATTTTTTTTTTTTTTGTACAAATGAGTCTTTTCTTCTGGGCGACGCAACTTCATTGCTTCCGCGAAACGGACGCAATCTACTTTATTTCTATATGGCCATTTGTTCACCCTTAAGGGACATGCATATACACATTTGTGGCCTGCACGAGTATATGCACGCGTACACATGTGCACATATGTGTACGTTCGTACTTGCATGCATAAGGCATACCGAACATGTGCAGCTCCAACTGTCACCACCGCGGTGAAACGCAACGATACGTCCGAACTGCCTGCACGTTATCATAAATTGCGCTACGCAAAATAGAGCGAACACACTTGTTGATACAGTATACAATTTGATGTCATTAAACGTATTCCTGCACCTCCCACATGCGAACCATTTTTACGAAATTTTATATGTACTTGTCCCACAAAATTATGCATCCACCTGTGATGGCGTTTCAAAATGGGTGTCATTTTTTTTTTTTTTTTTTTGGGGTACTTTAAAATGAATGCACGCATTTGTAGCAGGGGAAAATTATATAAAAAATAAAACACATCCAAAGTATGATGCAATTTTTTTTTCTTTCTTGTTTTCCACTTTTTGAACACTTATCCTTGTGTGCCATTTTGTGTTAACTCGGCCATATGCCGTGGCATTCGAATCGGCCTAAGCGAACAGCCCACATGAAGGAAAAAAAAAAAAAAAAAAAAAAGAAGTCCATACGTTATACATATATATAGTTTTGTTAGAACATGCCAGAGGGTAAAATAACCGCGACGCATGTTTCAACCTTATTTTTTCGCACGCGTACAAAAGGCATTATTATGAGAAGCAAGCGGTGTGAAGAACGTTATGCCAGAATTTGGTGCAATTCTGCCAATGCGCGAATTTTCCATTTTTGATAATAAGGGAGCGCACTGATTTTTTCATACGAACGTGTCGAATTTGTGCGTGACATTTTGAACGCTTGGTGTGATATGCTATAAATTTCCCGTTCCTGCTTTTACGCTCCCCCATCGGATCGCAAAAAATGATAAAACACAATATCATGTCACTTACATTTTGTACATTGTTTAGTATTTCGATTGTTCCTGTTGTTTAAAATTAAGTCATTTTTCTTTTCCTCGCGCACATTTTTACTTTACGTGTGTATGTATAAGTACACACAAAGTATTTTTCTGTTTTGTTTTGTTCCTTTTTTTTTTTTTTTTTTTTTTTTTTTTTTTTTT